TTTTTTTAGAGAGACTATAAACCTTATTTAACTCTCAGTGACTTACAATATCAGCTGCTCCACCCTTCACCACAGATTTAATGTAAATCCCGAGGCGATCTTGTCCAGCCCCCTGAAACAAAAGACAAAAAAAAATCCATGAAGCACAGCAACAGATATAAAATATCAAAAATTTACCGTCATCAACGACAACAGAGTGTGGGGACAAGTGCGCGCACACATGACTGCTAGCAGCCCCGCCATCGGCTATCGAGCTAATTAGCTCGCGCAAAGTAAATGCGATCCGGTCATTAAGGAGGGAGTGAGGGAGCGATGAAGCAGTTGGTGGAGAAGGGGGGCGAGAGGGGTGCGTAGGCCCACCTCGCCTTTGCGCCGCCGTGGGCGTGGGCGGCAAGCCAATAAACAGCCAAAGAGCACAGTCTGGTCGGTCTGGTCTAGGAGTTGCGTGCGTGGCAACCACCTCCCATCCGCGGGCTTGCCTGGCCGGTATTTCGCTTATGGTTGAAAGTGAATGAGGATACCCCCCCCCCCACACAACCACTGCTCCGCCACTCCCATGGACGGATTCGGCCCCACGCCAAGCAGTAGTGAGAGCGATATTGCGTGGTGCCACGCACAACACCATCTCCCACACGAACAAACCTCACCACTCGCCGCAGAGTACATCCATTTGTGCGAAACAGTTTAAGAACAATTAAAATACCTAATGTCCCTAATGTTCAGAGATTACCTCGGAGATTACTTTTCAAAACTCACATCGAAAATGCAGAAAAAATGTCTTGGTTTCCAAGAAAATACCAAAAAGCAATTTGAGGCGCTTTTCACTGCGTAAAAGCTCCAGGACGATTGGGGCTTGTAAACACCCAATATTGATCCCAGCTTTGGCGAACAAAGTGTTTTGTCCAGCTCTTATGCGGACACGGACAGGACTCTGGGTGACTGTAGAAACAGCATACACTGTTGTCGCTGGGCCCCCGTCGGAGCAAACGCGTATAGCCTAGCCCGCATGCAGACGTGCGGGTGGGTTGCCTATTCACACGGGGCCCTAAGGCTAGAGAAGACATAGGCAAGCCCGTCGCGCACCGGAGCATGCGGGCTAGAATACGCGCCCTCGCAGCCTTCCCATCTCAGAATTTTGCATGCAAGTTTTGCACACAGCGCCTCGGTGAAGACCAGACACTCCAGTCCGGATCACTTTGACACCCTGTACGCTCGTCCCGCCGGCTGGCCGGTACGGGAGGTGGAGTGACCAGTCCAGTCCACCACCGGTGTGGCCGGGGCCCGGCGTGGCGCGGGGGCCACACGGCCGTGTCTTCTCCCACGCTGCCCCCGCGGCGCCCGTGGCGGACACGGCGTCCTTCCGCGCCGAGCAGGCCGAGCCACCTTCACACGCCGGAGCCGGAGCCGGCTCCGGGCTGGAAGCCAAGCCAAGAGCAACCACCGCAGCAGGCAGCAGGGGCAGGAGGGCACCGCACCCGCGCCGGCTGACTGAGCAGTCAGTCCCATCAAACCACACCACACCAGACAACAAGCCAACCCCGGGCCGGGGCGCGAGATGGGGGGCACCTACAGCCGCAGCCGTGCACGGCACACATACCCGACCCCGCCGTTGCCCCCCGAGCCATCTAATTTCGAGCGCGTCGTTGGAGAGTCCTCTGGGTGGTCCCGGGGTGGCGCGCGGTCGCCGCCGGGTCGTCGCGTGGCCGCGCTACACCAGACAGAGAGCAGGCAGAGCGCCCCTGGGCCGCCGCCACCACCACGGTGCGGTGGTGCGCCCCGCAACGCACGCACAGCTCACGGGGGGCAGGGCCTTGGGCGGGCGGGGCAGGGTACAGGGCACACACACACGGGGCGGCCAGGTACCCACCACACACGCCAGCTAGCCGGCACAATCGTGTGAGTGCGCCTGCTTGCGTCACCTCACCGCACCGCGCCGCGCCGCGCCCAGCCCACGCACCCGCACAGCCGCCGTGTCCCTTGTCGCGCACCACACACACAAACACACCGTGAAACCCGCGCGGACAGCGTTTGAACAACCACCGACCCGACCTCATCCGTGCCACTCTTTTGGCGAGAACGAAAAAAGCGAAGACAGGACAACAACAACGGCATTTCGCAAAAGCTGCCTTATCCAGCCGGCCGGGGTGCGTCGCGTCGTCGGCAGCTGAGCGTGGCTCCGGCCCGTCCGAGAGATACCCGTCGCCGTGGTGGTCATTGTCTCTGGCCGGGCCGGAGCCATTGTCTCCGTGACGCACGCAGCTTGCACCTCGCGGCCCGCGCCTCCCGAGATTAACCTCCCTCACCGACGACGACCCTTTCTTTATTGGCAATGAATGTCCGCCGTGATCACCTGCAGTGCCAGTTTGTCGAGCTCGACTGCAGCGCGGCCTCCTCGCGCGCCGAGCGCAGCGAGCCGTCCACCGCCGCCGCCGCTGCGCTGCTGTCAGGTCATTTGAATAAAAAAGATGACCCTGTCGATTCCAGCACCAAACGGGGCAATAACGCAATGCCTTGCCGTCAGAGGGCCCATTCCGAGACGCCCAGGAGGCCCTTTGTCACTCCCCCCTCCTCTCCTCCCGGGAGGCTCAACTATCCTCCAGGACGACGGCGGCGGCCCTCCTGCAGAAGCGCTCCTGCGGCAATGGTATACTACTACGCTTCCCGACCCAAAGGCACAGAGCGTTGGGCGCGCTTGCTCTGGGTCGTTCCGCCTTCCGCCGCCGCCCCGTTCCGGTCCAACCCCGCCGGGCCCGAGGACGCAACTCCTCGCAGCCCTTACCTCAGAGCGCCTCAGAGAGCCCGCGGGGCACCCTGCCCTCGCGGACCTCCTCCATATACCGCGGGATAACGCCCCCCCCCCTCCCCTCACCGCGCGCGGGAGGAACACAACAACAAAGGCCAGCGAGGAGGGGCGGCGGAGGAGCGCCGCGGCGCCGGCGGCATGACAGTTGCGAAACCCACAAGAGTCGCACCGCCAGCCGCCGCCGCGCCGCCGCCGTGTCCCACCAGTCGGCAGCGCGGCCAAAAGGGATTTAAAAGTCCGTCCGGTTGTTGTAATAAAGCACGAGAACACGCGGCGGGGCGGGGCACGGCACGCTCACCAGCCAGCGCGGCGTGTGAGAATGACCACCATCAGCGCCGAGGCCGTGCACCCCGTTCTCCTCGTCGTCCCCCCTCATCCTCTCCCGAATAATTCCCCAAATCTCTCCTCCAAGTGGCTGCTTCCACCACCGCCGCAACCTCAACACCGTCTCCTCGCCAGCACCCAAAGCATTTCCGCCGATGGCAAAGCCGCGCGGGCCGAACGCGACGCGCCGTCGGGAACGGGGGCCGTGCTGTAGTGGCGAGGAGGAGAAGGCAGGAGGTGGTGGTGGTGATGGTGGAGAAGGAGTGACTCAGTAGCAGAGCTCCGCAGCTCCTCGCTGCTCGCTCGGTTTGCTCCTCGCTCGAGTCGCTGCTCGTCGAGTCGGTCCGCTTAGTCACTTGCCGTCACGCTTCGACCTCGCTTCCAGACCGTGACCCCCAGCCCAGCGCGCAGCCCAGCCCCGAGGAGCGGCGTGGACAGCAGGGTCCTCTCTGGAGCTGGAGCACTCCAAAGGGCAGGGCAGGGCAGGGCAGGGAGGCATAACCAACCACCCAGACGCGCCTCGCCTTACCCCGCCCCACCTACCCACCCACCTCGCCATGAAATCGCTCAATTCCCTCGGCGGGCCCGTCCCACCCGATCCCCCCCTTGAGCCGTCCGAGGCCGCTGTCGAGGCCGCCCGCTGCGCGCGGCCGGGTGATGCGTCAGTTACGATCGGCTCGCGCTGGACTCCACCACCAGCAAGCTCCAACAGCGGCCCCGCTTGGCGATGTTGGGGAAGGTTGGGGAAGGTTAGGGAAGGTTGTTGGGGTGCTGGCCATTACTCTCGACCCCGGGGCAGGGCGGTACGAGGCCCCACAGGAGAGGCTTGCATAGCGATGAGCTGGGGGGCCCTCCTAGCCCCCCCCCCTCCCCC